TTTTCCTGTTAGCACTGGACAGCTACCTCTCTCCACAGCCAACGCTATGTTATAACAGTGCTTTCAACATAGCCGGTATAAGATTGTATTTACCTTCAGTATACATGCCACTCTTTACTTATAACTGCCTGCCTGCCTATTGAATAAAACATAGTTACTTCAATGATGAAGTCTTTGAAATGGAAAGGAAAGGGATCAAACCCATTACCATAGACTGGCTGACCTGTGTGCATGTGCATGTCACAGTGTGTGTGCGCATGTGTGTGTGTGTGTGTGTGTGTGCGCGCCTGCGTGTGTGTGTTTGAATGCTGCAGGGTTCCAGGGATCCATCAGTCTCCCATCTGGAGCCAAGCTAAGGGAAGGTCAGCCTGATGGATACATCCTGACATGCACACAGCCTGTGATGTCAGCTGTGTGTGTGTCTCTGTGAGCGTGTCCGCATGGGTGTTTATGTGTGTGTGGGCTGGCAGGCCAGCCAAGCGCAGGCACGGTTCAACAGAGCAGAGGGCGGATAGGCGAGCAGGGAGGGGAGCGCTAGACTGGCCTCAGCGCCCTAGTTTGAGGGGTTTGAAGGGGGTTTTTGCTGGCAGAGGGGTTGTAAGGAGGGGGTAGATGGTGAAGCAGGGTGAGGTGTAGGGGTTGGCTGGGGCTGGCAGAGAGGGGGTGGGTGGAAGGGGCTGAGGTGTAAGGGTGGGCTGGGGTGGCAGAAGAAAGGCCCCATTCATGAGTCGTGCCATCTCTGGCTCCCAAGGGGACCGGGGCTCATCAATGACCAGGCCAGCTGGGAGGATGTCAGTATGCAGACTCGCTCTCTCTCTCTCTCTCCCTCCCTCTCTCTTTTGTCAAGGGCCAGTGCTGTCAGAGCCACTAGGCTGAACACTGAGGCCTCTCATGCAGTTGGGTTCCCATTGAAATCCAGAAAAAGCCTCTGGCTAGCCAGTGTTTCGCACACCGTATGTACTGTATGTGACAGCTCACCTCCACCCTCGGAGAGGCACTGTCTGTGGTGGCCACGTCAGCTGGAGATGAGCGAGGTGGGGTGCATCTTAAAGGGGGATAAAATGGCAGTGTCTGCTGAGCGTCGTATGCTCAGATGGCGTGTCCAAGTACCTTAATTCTGGAGCTTACCGGTGTAGTGTAGTTTTCCGGTCTTTGAGCCACTGACAGAAGAAAACAGTTTCTTTTTATTTTAAAGCGCTTTGGCAAAGTCTTAAAAGTGCTCCAGAATTACGTGAGTCAAAAACCAACTAAACTTCTGGGTGCTCGAGTGCTGATTTTGCCCTAAAATAGAGATGAAGAGCAAATGTCATATCTGCATGAATTGTCAGTCTCTTGTGCTCTGCTACACTAGGAAGGAAAGGGGGGACAGGAAAGGAGCAAGGTTTGTGAGCTGCACAGATGTGTGTGCTGTTTATCACTGCCAGTGAAAGGCCTGCATCAGCAGCAGCTGTGCAGCGCTTTGCATGCAATGGCAGCAGCGCGCTGGTAGGGGCACATTTGCATTTGTGGTTTCATATCACATTTCGTATCATGAGCAACGATGTTACTCCCTCTCTCTTCCTTCCTCCCCTCCTTTGCTCGCTCGCTCGCTCGCTCACTCTCTCTCTTTCTTTCTCTCTCTCTCTCTTCTCTCTCTCTCTCTCTCTCTCTCTCTCTCTCTGTCTTTCGCTGAAGCGGAGGAGCTTTCTGTGAGAGAGGCAGAGGAGCCACGAGAACAGCCTAAGTAGAGCACTGGAGCGTAACCCTGGAAGGTTCAGGCTGAAACGGATCCAAGCATAACATCAACACTAGCAAATCTCTCCATCACACACAAGGGCAATGTCCATGTGGTCATGGCGCACAGCTTCATGCGTGCTACTAAAGCTAAACACCTAGCACTAATTGCCTCTAATGAAAGTAGGTTTTGTTGAAGTTGGCTGTTACAAAAGCCAGATGACATCGCTTCTGCGTCAGCTGCCCTTTAGCTCTTCTCTTGCGTCAGTTTTACTTGTTTGTGAGCTTGTATGAATTACATACCATAATGGTGACTGATGTTGGAAGTTGGGAGGGTAAAGAAAAAGGATCAGGCTTCAAGTTGAAGGTGCTGTGGTCTGTATGTGTCCGCTGGAATTGCAGTGATCTAGAGGACCCTCTGATGAAAGGGCTTCCTGCGGCTTTCATTTCCACAGTGCGTTTTGATGGGGAGAATTTCCTCGCAGCTGAGTCAAAAAAAACAGCCTTGTATTGTGAGAACAGCCCATCTCTCTTTGCAGTTTGCCATGGCTCATACATATTTTTGGTTTCTTGAAGTCAGATAAGGTTTTTGGAGAACTCATACTCATGCAAATGAGGGGGTATATATATATATATATATATATATATATTTTGTTCGTGTAGGAATGTGTGAATCCTATTGAGATGACAAATGCACCGCAGGACTGCGGGGCCGCTCTAGTATATTGGTTTCATTATATGGTAAAACTATTGCATAGGTTAAAAAAAAAATGCTGTTGCTACGATGACGATGTCACTGTGCTGCCTGCTTCTATTATCAACTTCTGCACAGAAAGCATGATAAGCGAAGAGCTGAAGTACAAACAATGATGTTTGAATGTATAAATAGAACATAATCTTCACAAACTTCTGTGCATTGTTCCGTGTTTTGTCATGAAACAAAGTGCTGAAAAGATTTGACTTCAGTTTCTGAAGACTTTAAATTGATCTAGTCTTCAAACCCATGCTGGATAATAGGATTGTTAAAATCTGCATATGAACATGTGCTCATGGATTCCTCATCATGTTTGACTGAGTGTGTTTCTGTATCAAGGTGAAAGGGACACAGGAAGTATAGCTTTGAGTTTACTTTCTTGGTGCGCTTGCTTCTCTGTGAGGTGGTGTACCTGTGTGTGTGTGTGTGTGTGTGTGTGTGCAGCTGTTATTTTTGTTATGTCCGCGCTGAAACTCCAGCCCGCCTAACAGGCTGTTAGAGGAGGATCATGCTGATCCTTGTCCTGTTGTCCATCTCTTCTCTCCCCTACCTTCAGCAGACCGCGCTGTTCCCTCTTCTATCACCTCCTAGCAGGCTCCTTTATGTTTCTTTGGCAGCCCTTTGATAGACGTCTCGGCTCATTGTGTGTGAAGGTGTCTTTGTATTGGTGTGTAATGGTGCCCTAAGATACTGTTGCTAGAGTGTTGTCTTGGTGTCTGTTCCACTGCTGCCCTTGAGACCCCAATAACCACCTTCTGTGACAGGAGCTCTTCACTGAGCAAAGCGCTGCTCCCCCTCATTTGCTTTATTTCTGTCTCTGCCTCTCTTCGGTCTCTCTCTTCCTCTTGTTTCGTTTTTTTTGTTTTTCCTCATCGTCTCGTCCATCCTGTCTGTGTCTTCTGCCTCTACATAGCGGCCATATCTCAGTGTCCAATGGATCGCCTGTGCCCTCTTTTGATTTCACTCAGCATCAGCGAGCAGTGAATAGGGGGCATGCTGCTACAGTTAGAAATTTGCTTTTAAATACGTGAGGTATGTTCATTCATTCTCCTCCAAACCCCTCCAGCTGCCCTCAGACCGCTCACCCATTGCCCCCCTGCAGGCCTGTAAAGTCCTATAGCGTCCCCCCATGCTGTTTTCCACATTCTCTGTTTCCCTGGTACCTACAGTTCCAGCGGGCCCGAGGCCAGGCCCCCTCATTTCTCTCTCTGCGACCAAAACCCTGCCAGAGCCCGCCTAGGCTTGGAGTGGGGGGGGTAGCCTAGTTACCATGGTCACAGCAATTAGCATTGTGAACTCTGCAATGAACAAGAAACTTTCCAAGATCAGCCTTAAGCTCCTGTGATCTGTCTGTCATGCTGTTAATATGTTATTAATTGTTAGAGAGGGGTTTCAGTTTTAGCCGTTCAGTCTAGATTGACGTTATAGATAGGACAAGAGCTCAAGACCAAAGACGCCTCGCCTGTAGTGGTGACAGCCTGAGAACCTCTTGAAAGTGGCTTGGATTGTTAGCGAGCAGAGTCACTATGTTCTTGGTTATTTTAAGCCCCATCAGAGACATGAGCTCAGAAGAAGTGTATTAGTCTTTCTGACAGGACATAAAACGCGTTGAATTAAATTTGGGAATTGTTTGGGACTGCAGCGCTGTTCAGATAACTCAAACAATATTTCTCCTTTTTCATCAAATCATAGATATTTATCTCTCTCACCACTGAAATGATCTAAAGTGGTGTATCACTGTATGTATGTGTGTGTGTGTGTGTGTGTGTGTGTGTGTGTGTGTGTGTAAGACTGGGAAAAGCCAGTGTGTGGGAATTAAGCACTGACATTATTAACTGAAATGCAGCCTACTAAAAGCCCGGATGAAGCTCATTGCATGCTCAAGAGAATATTTATGTTGGTTTTATTTTTCATGGCATAATTGCTTCCACATTGCTTTGTGGCTGTGGACCGTGAAACACAGTAAACATGCACTTCTACCTCTGCACGGTGCCTGTGTTTGACTAGCAGAGATGGGGCTCAGTGATTGGTGCTCCTGCACGGTTCATCCATCAGTTATCTGCGAGGTGCCACCTTGGAAACTGCCAACATGACAGCCTTCAGACACAGCGAATTAATTGAATCGCCTGTCTTGCTGTAGAACTGTGGTCTGTTTGCAAAAAAAAAAAAAAAAAAAAGTGCACACTAATTTTTGTTGTCTAATTAAATGGTATTGGCTCTGGGAATGTTAGTAAAATTTGTGGACAGTCTCCAGCTCACTCCTACATATTCAGCATAGATTATTTCTTCTTCTGACCTGTGTGTACTACACTAGGCTGCTTTCCATGAGCTCCTAGGAAGTGTGGAAAGACTCTTCTCAAAAGGCTCTTGCAGATATGACTTTATATTGAAAATGACAATGTAGTCATGATGCATTTATAGTATGTTTCAATTTTTAATGTCTTTGTCCCATAATAGCTCGGCTCAGTCTGAACTTATACATTTCCTATAAGAGTATAATGCTCTAACAATCCTGTCTTTTCTCTATCCTCAGGGCTCCGGAGATCATCCTGGGCCTGCCGTTCTGTGAGGCCATAGACATGTGGTCCCTGGGCTGTGTGATAGCTGAGCTCTTCCTGGGATGGCCCCTCTACCCCGGAGCCTCAGAGTACGATCAGGTAACACATGATTGCTCGGACCTTCAAACTGTCTCCTGACCTCCTGAGCAGCTCATGATTGTGCGTGTTCGGATGTTGGGTTAGCTAGCGCACCCATGCGTCTGCGTTCACGTGCGTTTATGTGTATATGCATTTGCGTGTGTTCTCCCTCCGCGGCGGTATGTGTGTGTGTGTGTGTGTGTGTGTGCTTGTGAGTGTGTTTGGGAGGGTGGGAATGCTTCTCTAATCCCCCTGACAGCCCCTGATGATTCTTGCGCAGCCTCCCTGTTTATCTGAACAGATGCCACGGAGCCACTTGTCCAATTAGCGCAGCCCCTGTGCTCCAGAGCAAGACATTGCCGCGTTCCCCTCTCTCTATCACTCAGACGAGGCTCAGTGGGAAAACCTTGAGCAAGTTGTGCTCCATCACTGAACAAGCTTTCCCGATTTTTTTCACAGGCCCCAAAACTTAGGCAAAGTGTCTCATTTACAAGTCTTAAATCAATCTCTTGAGCTCAGGTCATGTTTTGGTACTCTGCATATTTCAGGCAGATATGTTTGGAGTAGTTAATGTCAGCCAAAAAGAACAATCTTCCTAAAGTTTTAGCTTTTTTGGTGATCAGCATGAAAGCTTCACAGTGCTCCACAATAAGATGCAACTTATGTTTCAGTCATGCCTGTGATGTGATTGTGTTTTTCCATCTTCTTTCTTGCAGATCCGGTACATCTCACAGACACAGGGTCTGCCTGCGGAGTATCTGTTGAGCGCAGGGACGAAGACCACCAGGTTCTTCAACAGAGACCCCGACTCGACCTATCCCCTCTGGAGACTTAAGGTACAGCTGGAATGATACAGATACGCAGCATCGAGAACATCCTTCTAGTAGCAGGTCATACTTCACGAGCAAAAGCTGACATTGATATTCCAGAAACACAGGTCCTATTTCTGGCTATAAACAAAGTGAGAGAGTTATGAGAGCAAAATGGATCTGTGTTAGAGGATTTGGCAAATGGAAACCCAGCCTGGTGAATCAAGCTCAGAGGGTGTCTGCTCTAACCCCCCCCGTCCCTTTATGTAGGCCACTCAATGAGGAGGTGTGCTCCTTTCTTTTCTAACCTGATTAACTTAACTTGAACTTTTGTGTGTCACACAGTGAGTTTGCACACTGAGTTCCTGACTGTATCAAATTGCAAACACTGATCCATCTCTGCAGGGTATGGCGATGTGTTTTTCCACGTCTGCTCTGCCTGTGTCTAGGACTGAGCTTCTTCGAAAAGCCGAGTGCATTTCTTATGAATCCCATCAACATACCGCGCTGACAACAGCCGATGAGGGTGATGATTGGCCCTTTAAATAAAGACATGTTAATATAGAGTGCATAGCGTGCATGCTCTCAAGTGAGCTGCCCCACGGGCTTTTAGCTTTTAGTTGCCAGGTAAAAGTTACGCAACTTTTTCATGTTTGCTCACACTGAAGAATTTCTATGAAAAACTCTTAGAGCTATGGGCTTGTGAGGCCTTTAAAAAACACATTGTTGTAACTATAAAGAAAAGGGGGGGGGGGGGGGAGTTGATAGCAGCATTGTAAGAAAGACAGAGATGGAGTATTAGCTCGCACTTGACACCACTGCTGTAAGTCATCATGATCTTCTAGTGTCTTTGGTATGTGGAAAGTCAAACATCAAGGCATCCTGACCACTTCTTTTCCACTCTGAAGAGCGATTGCTCAGCTTCAAACTGACCTTGCCATGTGTTTCCATGTAGCAGCAGCTGTGTTGCTTTGCTGACTGTAATTAAAAATATCATGTGTTCAGTCAGGAGGTTTTTACAGTCAACACAGATTCGTTTCGGGTACATTTTCAACCTTTGAAAGATAATTATCACATGTGTTTGTTCTTGTTTTTGCATTTTCATGTAGTTTATGTAAATGTGTGTCCATGTGAACTAGCGCAGTGTATGCTCTGTACATCGTCTCGGCGTTGGTGTGATATAGTGTGTGCCTCCACATGCAGTTCCCCCTCCAATCTTCCCTGGCTGTTAGATGAGTGTCTGTGTGCTACCCCAGGGTTGCTCAGAGGGCAAGCCGAGTCCTGCTGCACATCAACAACAAGAGGCTGTAATGAGCCAAATGTAAATAGTGCGTTTCCAGAGGGGAAGTGTGATGGGATTTGGGATGAACATCTGCTTCTTGTCTCCCACAGACTCCAGAGGACCACGAGGGTGAAACGGGGATCAAGTCCAAGGAGGCTCGCAAGTACATCTTCAACTGCTTGGATGATATGGCGCAGGTATGCTGTTTCAGTATCACAAAGCACGGCTCTTTGGACAAAAGATGGATTTTTTTTCTTTCTTTTTTTTTTTTTTTTTTTTTTTTTTTTTTTTTTTTGCTTTTGTCTTTTGCTTCAATAGCACCCACCTGTCTCACATTTGAAGCTTCCTCTGATGAGGCTACTCAGGTCCTGGGCCAGTTTGATCCATCACATCCCGAGAATTATCTATCAAATATTTGAAGACCTTTAAAATATTTATCCTTTCAAGCCCTGATCTCCAGATGCGGTGGAGCTCTGCTGCTATATAGAATTTTACAGCAGTGAAATGAAAGCAGCTGTTCACTGAAAAACCCTTCCTCAACTCTGCCTCTGCTCTTCATTTTGCTTAACTGCTGTCTAATAAGTTACAGACAGACATTTGAGCTGAACATGTGGCGAAGGCTGGTTAACGTGTTAGATATGTACAGTTTGCTTTCTTATTTAAGCTGGGACGAGTGTTGCGGCTACGCCTTCGCTCTGTACATCTGCAGTGCATGTAAGCATGTAGAGGGCAAAGGTACAAAATGTTGTTCTGTCTCTCCCCCCCCATTCTCTCTTTCTCTTTTACTGACACACACACACACACACACACTCACACGTGCACACATTCCAGAAGATCCCAACCGGTTTTTCAGACCGGCTCAGTGGGACCTGCAACATATTGTGTCTGCATGACACATCTGGTTAGCCCCCCTGCAGCCCTGCATGTCACCTGAGGGAAACTGTTTGTTTAGGAGGATCTTACATAACTCCAGGAAGTGACTTATAGACTTACATGCGGAGAAGCACTGTCATTGACCTCGCCTACATCTTTTGTCCCTTTCCTCTGAGACTCAGACTGATTTCATCTCTCCACAGTGGGAAAGTTCACATGTAGCCAAGACATTTTTGATAGGACGTGCCTGACAGTGAGATGATAGTGAGTGTTGTTTTGTTTCCCCTCGCTTGGCCAAATGCTGGTTCTGCTGGCAGATAACGGAAGCAGTGATGGAAAATTACAATGTTTTTCCCAGGTCCCTTCGAATCTCTGACTGTACTCACTTGTCATCACGCTCCTCGATGCTGCCTCTGATAAAGACTAGCCAAGAGATAAGAGTTAAGCAGGTGAATTATTTCTTTTGGAATATGGTCATCTTGGTGCCCAACCAGCAGCAGCAGCCTCTGGAAACTGTCTATGTGGATACCCAGCACATGTAGCTACTTAAGTGATGGAGACAATTATGGTTGTCCAGTAGCGCCCAGGGCCGCTGTCAGGCCTGTCTGGAATAACATGCTGTCGGCTGGGACAAGATACTATCACTGCCTGGGTTTGTTGAATTTGCAGTTACCACACACACACACACACACACACACACACACACATGCAGCATGGAGTTTAATGAAACCAACCTGCAGTGGTATGATATCCCCTGGGTCATCTCTGTCTCCTACGCTTCAAGCTCTGTGTCCCATCTTCCTCTCACTGTTGCAGCCAGACTCAGCTTACTACAGAAACACAGAGGAGATACAGTCGAGCTGCACAGGCTTAATGTGGGAGAAAAAATGCCTATTTTGCCCCATCTCACTATCCCGGCCGTATAAACAAGTCAGCCTTGTGGACATCTGTCTCCGCGTGTATAATGGATGATATAGCTGAAGGCCCTGCAAGACAGAGGGGCTGGGTGCCAGGAAGAGATAATGAACCTCCTTTCAGTCGTGGGAAATGTGGGGAGGCTCTAGTCACAAGTATATCTAATTTGAGTAAATCAGAGACCCAACTTACAGAAAATGGCCTGATGCAGATGGAGGGAAGGCCAGAACTGCTCAAAAATGGATTTCACTTTGATCTGCAATCATGCGATATCTCTGTTGATAGGAGTGAAGCCACGGCAGGAGGAGCAGCATGTTCTTCACCTTATCTTCCTTTTTATTACATGCACTTAAACACACTCTTCCTTTCTTCCGACCTCTCCTCCCACTGTGAAATAAAGTTTATGGGCGAATCTGCACATGTTGTAGTGCTGTGTAGAAGATGGGCCTGCATCCTGCATGCCTAACTCCACATCTCCTGAGGCGTAGCCCAATCTGTCCCACTGCTCGACATCTGCCGTCCCTGCCCTTACTCCAGAGTGGCATGTCAGTGCTCCTCACGGCACAGATGTGGCTCCATAAACAGCCGTTGACATGCAAGACACGCAAGGCTGACCGTGTTAGTGGAAGCCCCTGTGTTCTTTAAAGACCATTTTCATTCAAGATTTGGAAATGTCAAATGTTGCCTCTTGCTGTTACTGAAAGCAAATGGAGCCTGAAAGTATCTTTTGTATCTAGTAAATTCACATACTTTAAAATTAAATTAAATTAAAATTAAATTGATGATTGCAAACTTATTTTTTTCCTCTTCAGGCCTCTCCTCATCCGGCCTGATTGTTGTGCCACAACTCAGCCAAATGCTATGCATGTGCCGCCAAACTGTACATTTCCCAAAGTCATCTCTTCGACTAGCAGAGGACAATGTGATTATTTCTCACCTCATTCTGCAGATTATTCCTTTATCACAGCCAGCGGAGATGGCAAGCAGAGAGGAATGGTTACAGAGCCTGAATAACCTGCATAGAGAGACAGAATTGAATCAGATTTGCGGTGTTGACTGGCAGCACATCTGATAGCCCCTGGAGCAGGCCTACAGATAAGGGCTGCGTCCTTATGAAAAACAGGCCTGCTACCTCTGCATGGCACAACCACAATAAACAAGGCTGCCTGTTTGTCGCCACTGTCCCCGTCTCTGTCCCTGTCGCATTGCCTGACAATCTGCTTGTTCTCTTAAGCCCAGACAGGCTATATCACGACCTTGTCCTGCTTCCTTCGTTCCTCACCCCACATGACAACCCGAAAAGTAAAGCCCAGACCCCAGAGTGATTTCCTACCAAATCAATTCCTGCTATTTATGTAGATTTGCATCAAAGCAGAAATCTGCTGCTTTCCCCAGTATTTATCCACAACCTAAGCTGCAGTGCTTAATACAGATGAAGCAACATGATGTTCCAAGGCAGCTTCCCAGAACTGCCTCAGAACATATTTAGGTTAAGTTGTCTTATGTCAGCTCTTTCAGAGGCACTCAGAAAATGGTGTTCTTTGTGAAAGGGTTCTTTAACGACTCGCCAATGGCAGCATTTATTGGGTTCATGTTTTTTGTTTGTTTTCACATCTTAGGAATAGATAAAAATCTCAGTGAAGGCGCCAGGAGATATTTCAAGTGGTGCTATGAATACCAGTGCAAATGTTTATAATGTCACTAAAGTGCAAGGTTATCACTGGGCTCTGTGACACACAAACTGACACCCTAACTGATGAGGCCTTGTGAGTATTAATAGGTCTCTCTATGGGAATGAACCGCGGGAGAGATTTTTCTCTGACGTCTGCAGAAACATTAGAGACCTTGAATACTCAATCAGCTATTTGAAATGCTAAGAAGCGTGTGTGTGTGTGTGTGTGTGTGTGTGTATGTGTTTGTGTGTTTGTTTCATGCATCCAGGTGAACATGACATCAGATCTGGAGGGGAGCGACATGCTGGCGGAAAAGGCCGACAGGAGGGAGTTCATCGACTTGTTAACCAAGATGCTGACCATCGACGCGGACAAGAGGATCACCCCCATCGAAACGCTCAACCACCCCTTCGTCACTATGTCACATCTCCTCGATTTCCCGCACAGCACACAGTACGAGCCCCAGCAGACTCTGTTGTTGTTGTTTATTGTTATTAATTATCAGTTTGATCAGTGAAGTAACATCTGCCACTGTCATCTCATTCATTCTCTGTCTCCCTCTCCCGCTCTCTCGTCCGTGCAGCGTGAAGTCGTGCTTCCAAAATATGGAGATCTGTAAGCGTCGTGTCAACATGTACGACACGGTCAACCAGAGCAAGACGCCCTTTATCACCCACGTGGCCCCCAGCACCTCCACCAACCTCACCATGACCTTCAACAACCAGCTGAACACTGTGCACAGCCAGGTAAATCTGAAAATAAATAAACATCCTCATTCATCAGCAAGCTATTAGGAAACCACTGATAGTCAACGTCCTAGCTGTCAGACACAAGTATGGAAATGATTTTAGCTACGGTTTACTGCATTTCCACAGTGGGCTCCAGTAAAATTATCATAAAGACAATTATATGTTGTATCTTAATAGAGATGCAGCTGAAAGTAAAAGTACAGAAAGAAGTAGTAAAATATGTGACCTTCAAAATAATAGTATTATGAAAATATAGAATGTGTCAAAACGGATAATTAAAACCGAGCCCAAAATTTTTGAATGATGCATTTGCTAACACAGCCAGAATGAAAAGAAATAGAGCCAAATATCAGTGGTTGAACAGCTTAGCATCCCGTGAGCAGCTATCTGTCCCTTTGTTTTATTTTTTATTTTTTTCCATCTGTTCTCCCTGTCTGTCTGCACGTTTCCATTCCTGCTGCCTTGGTGCATGTATATCTGTCTGCCTGCATTTCTGCCTGTGCCCCAGGTCCTGTGGGATTGTCACAAAGTGCTGATTACACACATGACAAGCCCTTACTTCCTGCTTGCCTTGCATTCTGGGGCTTTCAGGCCTTAAGAATCCCTTTACCAGGCTTCCTCTCATTTCCCCTCCTCTCCCTCCTGTCCTCCTCTGTCTTCTCTTCTTTCCTCCCATTTCTCCGGGTTGAGCCTGTGGTGCTTTACCGCTTCGTTCTCGTACGGCCTATGAATCGAAACTGCTGACTTTTGGCTACTGCCGGAATCACAGAGCGTGGGGTTGCAAGGTTTTCCAGATTGAGCTTAGTTACAACTCCTGCCCCCCCCTCCCCATTCTTTAGTAAACAGAGTTCTTTATCACCAACTATATCGAGCCAGCTCACACTGTGTACCATGCGACAAAAAAAAACCCCATCTTGCTGTGATTTAAATGGATTAACATTCCCTCGGCTTGTCTTTTTTACGCCCGGCTCTCAGGGCATATAGACAGACTTAAGTTAGTGATTTATTCAGCTCGATTCATTTGCAAGGCTGGTATGCATCTTTGGCTTGTATTTTGCTGCTCCCGTGCTTGTTTATGATGAATGCCACAGTGCCGTATTGATTATGTTCCCTCCCCTGGTGTTCATTGAACACGCTAAAGAGAGCAAATGAAAAATGAAAGCGCTGTCTCTGTATTTCCCTCCATCCCTATGTATGCGAAATGAAAGGGCTAAAATTAGACGGTGTCTCGTGGAGCAAATACTTGTTACAAGCTGAGCGAACGGTGTCTCTTAAAAGCATTTGTTTGTCTCCAGGATGTTCCCTGGCGGTCTTAGTATTCCGCATGTCTTATTAATGGTCAAGATGTGCTGGAGTGACCTGAGTTTACATAATTATAGAATGACTTTTGGCTGTGAAATATTACTCCTGTCAGGCATATTGATTTGGAGGCTAGATAGTGAAGCTGTGACATGGAATGTCAAATTTTGCTGCAGCTCATTATATTGACTCATTATTCTGTACCATTACCATGATATTATCATGTATTCTCCTTATGACTTTATGCTCATTGAAATGTGATAATAAGGGAAAATGCTTGTGTTGCTGTGTGGTTAATTGTTTCAAAATACCGCCTCAAGACATATAAAGCATCAATTCATGCACAGTGTATTATTAGTATAGACAGTATACATTTTTCCGGTCCAGCAGTGTATTACTCTAGTCTAAAGACATGAGGTCAGTGAATGCGGAAAATGATATAAAAGGATCAAAATCTCTTTGCTCTGATGGCATTTTGCTCATTGATGGTTAATTATTCTAAGAATTCCAGCATTGATTGCATCTCTCCTCACATTCTTTCTCTCCCTCTAATTAATCAAATCAACAATGCGCATATTTTAAGATGCGTTCAAATCAGTTGTCCAATTTCCTCAATCTTCCATTGGCTCTCATCAATGATGGATGCCCCGGCTATCCATCTTCTCTTGATCTGGTGATTGTTTTGCATCTTTACCTTTCTGTTTTTGCCCTGCCTGCTTCTTCAGCCTTACCTCCTTGGAGCACTTCCACTTTCCCGTCCATGCCATCAGAGCCTCCACTCTCATGATTTTTATTTTGGTCCCATCATTCCTTTAGGCCACCAACCTGGCTCCCTCCTCCACCACCAACAATGCCACCCTTTCCTTTGCAAGTCCTGATGTCTCCATACTAAACTACCAATCTGCACTCTACCAGCCCTCAGCTGCCTCCATGGCAGCCGTGGCCCAGAGGAGCATGCCCCTGCAGCCGGGGGCTCCTCAGCTCTGCGCTGCCCGGCCCGACCCTTTCCAGCAGGCGCTCATCGTCTGCCCACCTGGCTTCCAAGGTAAGGAGGTCTGAGCAGTCAGTGTGCATTATTGGGAATGGATAGAATGAGATGTGTGGGGATCTGTGCAAAGCATAAGATCTCAGCCATGAAAACCTGAAATGGAGCAGGTCATGACACAGTAAAGTTACAGTAAAGTAGTTCAACCTTAAGACCAGTGTTTGTTTTAAGCATTTATCTGGCACCAAATACAGTTACTGTAGTCAGTTTTACTTCTGTCTCTCTGCCCACAGTCCTCTTCTTTTGTTGTTAGCTTTCTAGTGTCCCAGCTTTAGCCTAGCAACCCAACAGGCAGTGTCAATTGTATCATACAAATGACAATTCAGTGATAACTTGATGAAGCAATTTATCATTTGAAAGGAAATGTTATACCTTTGTGTAATGCTTACTCACGCCCCCTTTTGTCTCCTCTGAGTTTGCACTGAGAGGGCAGAAGAGCTCCGAGGCGTTGTCTTATTTGTTTGTTTATTCTTTCCGTGGAATGGCTGATAAATGGCTACTGTTTTTGTTTTTCTCAGTAGTGTTTCTATATTTTAACATAGCAGAAGGCTTTTGACATCTGTTGAATGCAGATAAATCAGTTTGCACATATAACCCATTGTCTGTTCCCTGGCTCTTAATTTTGCAGATAGCATGATGTTGTTTATAAGTGACAGATGTAGAAAATATTGCTGCACTTACTTGTTGACATTGTGTGTGCGTGTGCTTTATTTGTGCACAGGGCTGCAGGCGTCCCCCTCCAAGCACACCAGTTACTCTGTGCGGATGGAGAATGCTGTTCCCATAGTGACGCAGGCCCCTGGTGCCCAGCCTCTGCAGATCCAACCTGGCCTGCTTACACAGGTGGGAAGATTTTCGAGTATCACAGAGAGAAAACTAATAGACTTTTGTGGGCCTTAACAATAACGGTGCCTGTGAGACTTGGAACTGCTCACATTCAAACAAAGCTCTCTGCATCCTTCTTTTCATAAGCCTTCACTAAGAATAGTATCTATCGATGGAGGCTGGAAATCACTCAATGTTCGTGACCCTGTTCCTGCTGGCAGCTGTTTTTTCCTGAGCGCTCTTCTGTGCATTGCTCCCTGCCTCTTTCTCTCTCTCTCTCTCTCTCTCTCTCTCTCTCTCTCTCTCTCTCTCTCGCTCTGTCTCCTCGCACTCTCTCCCCCTCGCTCTCTCCGCTGCCCCGCTCTCCTGGAGGCTGAGGCCGCCACGGTCTGATGCACACAAAGGCAGGAGCCTTTCACACAGAGCAGGCCTTTACTGGAGCCTGCGCAGCGGAGCTGGAGCTTTAGCTGCTAATATACAGTTGTTGGAAGTAACAGAGAGTGACTGTGCATCACTCTCTCTGCACACACACACTGTAGACCACTTCCATTGCCACACCACCTCCTTCCCTATGGAAATTTCCATGAAGGCTTTAAATATCCCTGAGAATCCAGGGAGTTTGAAGCGCTCCCTTATCTCCAGTTAATCATGCAGTAGGCAGGCAGCAAGCTCTGTGTGTGTATGTGTGAGCGCGCCTGTATTTCTATGGCGGGTTAATCTGTCAGATACCAAATGGTGATTAGCTCTAGGGCTGGTTCCAAGTCAGGCGCTCCAAATTACAGGCCTCAGAGGAGCCTGGAAGGTCAGGGGAAGCTTGGATGAGGCTCTGCATGACCAGAGAACTCACATCACCACATTCATGGATATGATGGCTCAATCAAAGGAGAAAAAAATAAAAATAAAACATCTATGAAGAAAAACACAAATTGCAATTAATTGATATATCAAGTGTAGTTCCCACATCGCTGCCACGCTCTGCAGGTGTTCACTGTAACCTCTGTCTGCACACATGTTAAACAAAGACAGGCAATAGTTAATGTAAGCAGATGGTTTATATAGGCCAGGCCAGCGAGCAGCACACCTAATAACTGGGTGTGCGGTGTGTGTATTTGTGTGTGTGTGTGTGTGTGCATGTGCGTGTGCGTGTGCATGTGTGTTTCTCCGTGTTTATTCGGTTACTGTGGGAGGTCTCACAAGCTTGTCTGAGGCGTTGTTTGCCTCTTGGTTGCATTCTTCCCACCTGTGCCTTCACCCACCCACTGTTCACTGTAACCCCCCCACCAACACCACCCCCCACCCCCACCCCCCTTATTTAACTCGATGCACAACTCCGTTACTTTCGCGCCACACATGAGGAGTCGGACCAAATACCAGCTGATACTACTGGGTGTTCCCCCAGCTCCTCTGGCTGTGCGGGGGGGGGGGGGGGGCTAAGGAGGCTCCAAGCAGGGCGGCAGGGAAACCAGCAGGACCTTTATCTGGAGCAGGAATGCAGAAAATGTGGAAACAATTGGGCAGTGAGAGCTGGGGCTTTCAAAGCCCTGAGGTGACAAAGGGTTTCACCCGGGGAGTGTAGGTCGAGGTGGGAGGCGGTGGGCTGCTGATAGTGATGGTAGGCTCTGAGAAGAGAGAAAACGGCTTCTTAACTGGGTTACCATTTCAGGGCAGACAGGCTGGTTACACAACGCAGACGCCTAGTGAGAGAGGCATGTAGAGTGCCAGGAATGGAGATAGAGCGAGCAGGAGGAGGAGGAGGAGCAGGAGATGGATGGATGTATTAGTGTCTCTTAATGGCATGATGATAAAAGGCTTTGGATGTGGTCTTAGATGTAAAGACCATCTCGAGCTCTAGAATGTTCCATTAGAGATGTCAGTCATCAGTGCACAGACAAGGCAGCTCTGCTGGCCTGTAATGCAGCGCGCCCCCGCCCCCCCCCAGGCACTTCAGCTACAGGCTGGTTGGTTTGGGCTTTGCAACCTACCTACCAGACAAAAGCAATTCAACTTCTACAAGCCTGCAGCCAGACTACAGAGCAGAAGAGCCACTTTGTGTCAGAATATAATGGGAACAGATAGAGCAAAGCAAAATGTATGAAAATAAAGATAAAGGTTAAGATAAAGGTAAAACACAAGGTATGGAGTTACTGTGCCATATACACAGATTACCTGCTTTGCATTTTGTATGGTGCCTCTTTCTCTCTCTCTCTCCCTCTCTCTCTCTCTCTCTTTCTTCCTGTATCTCCTTTCTCTGTCTTTTGCTTCCTCTATTTAAATGTGTGCATGCTGCAGCACATACTGATGCTGTTGTAAATAGATGTGCAAATGGTATTAAAGGAACAATTCATTAGCCCTGACATTAAAGTGCTAATCAATAGAACTGCATTAAACCATTAGGGTTACACACACACACACACACACACACACACACAAACACGGAGTAACACACCAACTCGGGCATGCATGTACGCACACTCATCTTGGCACATCTCGGGGCATATTATGCCTGATACTCCTGCTCCGCATCAGAAATACAAAGTAGCCTCTTTCACAACAGCTTGAATAGGCCTATGAATTTAATTAGAACATAGGTTGATTTGACTCAAGTCAAACACATAATCACACTAGCCCACAGACACACACTCACATGGGCTCAGTCACTCATACACAAGCACACAAAGGAAGGAGCTGCTCTACATCTTTATTAAGTCCTGGTCTTATCTCTTTTGTCAGTGGATGTCTCCTTGAAGCTGCGTGGTGGAGTTTATTTTGCATGCCCAGTAGCGAGTTGAAACCAGCTGTTATGCACTTTTGAAAAGATACAGTAATTTATCACAACAACTTCAAACTAATCAGCCAGGTTCAATGAGTTTCCTTTGTTCCTGCATTTACAATGTTTGAATTCAAAAGATGCAAAAAAAAAAGAGAAAAAAAAAAAAAAAAAAGAATCATGGGTAACTCTGCAGTCCCATGACAAACTTATTTAAAATTCATTTTTTGTGACATGGCAACTGACTCCTTTCAATCTCTACTCCTCGTCTTCTCCCCCTCTTTGTTTATCCTCCACTCTGTGTTCTCCTACCTCAGCAGGCCTGGCCCAGCGGCACCCAGCAGATCCTGCTGCCTCCAGCCTGGCAGCAGCTCACCCACACCTCAGTCCAGCATGCCACTGTCATCCCCGACTCCATGAGCAGCACACAGCCTCTCGCCAACTGGAGGTGAGCAACACTGCTTTCTTATTTTCAACTGCTCCCGGCCAGTTTTAACCTTCATTGATGTAGGAGAGGGTCTGAATATTGTGGCCTACATGCTTTGAGCCCACCTTTCTTCAGGCAAGATTTAGCTGGATTAATAATTCCAATAGGTTGACACGTGTCATTTTAAAGCTTCCAAATCAAAGCACTTTGTAAAATCAAATTTATACACATAATACCAGGGGTGAGTCTGTAGTTAAGGTCAGATAAATGGATTTCACACAGGCCAGCGGTGGTTTTTATAGCCTTTTATAGGTCAAAATGTGCTATAGGAAGATGGTTTGGCATAGGACCGATCGAGCGAGGAGTCTACACCTCTCTGACAGCTTGTCCTTTATCTTTAGTGAATCACAGTCCTCATGTGAACAGTCGTGCTTTTATAAGAGCAGATTTACCTCAGGGAGATGGGATATATGTACATCATGTCGAGTATAGCCTGTCACTACGATGACTTAATAAATGGATGGATAGATGGGATAGGGCAATTTGCAGGGAGATGAAGAGGATGCAGGTATATAATGTGTATGTGTGGAGGGCTGCGAGGGCCATGTATGCTTAGATTCATTCAGAGCTGTCCATCTGTGACTAGACACCACCCTCCCCATCGCTCCCTCCCTTCCTGGCCAGTGGCAGCTCTGTTGTCCTCTGAGAGACGATTGGGAAAGTGTCGCACTTCCTCTGCAGAGCTATCGCTCCACAGCTGCTGGTGTCAGCTCCTCTGCCCTCCCTCTTTGCTCTCTCCTCTCCTCGCCTTTGGTCTTCTTTAGATAAGTTAGCTGCTGCCACCTGCTGGCTTCTGTGGGGAATACTTATCCGTCCTTCTCCCCTATAAATGCTGATTTTGATTATTCTTGATACAAGTATTTTTCAATATTTCATGCATTGATGCCCCACTTGCAGGTTTCAAATTGTTGTGTTAACTTAAAACTGTGCTATGTTACAGGAATTCCCACCCTCATGGCAGCCATTATAATCCCATCATGCAGCAGCCAGCCTTGTTGGCTGGCCACGTCACGCTCCCATCCAACCAGACGCTCAATGTGGGAGTGGCACATGTTATGAGGCAGCACTCAACCAATAACAGCTCCTCTTCCAAAAAGAACAAACAGCACCAGATGTCTGCCAGGTATTCTTTAATACTCAGGTGGCTCTAGACGCTCTATAAGCTATCATCCTGGCAGCTAAAGATCATCACAACAAGATCATGATGCCTCATAGCTTTTGATTTTGAAGTTTCCGATCTGTGTTTATCACCACCTAGAAGACACTCACCCCGTCCCTGTCTTTCTATCAGGAACATGTCAGCCTACGAGGTGTCATCCTCCCAGGCGGTGCTGTCCCCGCAGCGCTCCAAGAGGGTGAAGGAGAACACGCCCCCACGTTGCGCTGTGCTACAGAACAGCTCGGCCTCCAACTGTCCGCCCCCGCAGCCGTGTGGGGGCAGCGGGTGGGGGGCTGGCGAAGCGGAGCAGGCTTCCAGCACCACCCGCGATCATCAGCACCAGCACCACGTCCCCAGACAGACCATCATCATCCCTGACACGCCCAGCCCCGCAGTCAGCATCATTACCATCAGCAGCGACACAGATGAGGAGGATGACCACAAACAGAACAACAGGTCAGTTCTGTGTTAATGTGGTTCTTTTTATGCGGACTAAAAAGTGTGTTTATCGCTGCAGTGCTTGTCAGTTTTACTGTGGATTGCTGATGTAAGAGATTTTCAGGCTTGTCCTCGCGATATGAATTCCCACAATAAACACAACAAACGCAAACGCCCGCAGACTTAGATCAGCAAAGGATAAAGACTACAAGGGCCTGTTCAAAATCTGTTTTGACTTAACAGGACAGAGGTCATACCATTGCCAACAAAGCAAACTTTTCTGTCATCTTATTCGTTCTGTGATCTCATTTTGGGTTTCAGAGTAGTGTGACACACATGTTTCTGTAAACTGATGACCATGTGACTATAAAACGTGATTTGGTCTCAAGTCATTTAATGCTATCTGGGCTACTCAAGGCCAGTGGTAATCTCTGGAGTGTTAGTGTTTTGTGACGGTTGATCAGATCAAGTTTTATAGCCACAGAGCTATAAAACTGATGAACTGAAACCAGTGTGACATGTTGAATTGAAACACAAAGCAAGTGATTGTGAGTAGGAAGCGACAGAATGTTAACTAGAGAGGGTAACAACAGATTTATGACTTGCGAAAAACAAACCAGATGTATGTTTTCACATTCGAGTAATGTGGTAACTTACGGCGTCAGTACTAAACTGGTGGACGTCTGATCGAAGAATGTACAGATTATTATAGATATAGTAAAAAAATAAACCACCCATAATAGTTTTAAAAGTTTTGTCTCATTAACTTTCCTCTCTCTCTCGCCCCCTTGTTTCCTCCAGCTCATCTTCAAAGCAGAGGAAGAATGTCATCAGTTGTGTGACGGTCCATGATTCACCCGACTCCGACTGCTCCAGCAACAACAGCCCCTACACTGTGGAGTCCAGACCCCCCAACAACAACAGCTACGACACAAAGACCACCATACTGGACAACTACAACAATGGGAACCCCCGGACCATCATCATCCCCCCTCTCAAAACCCAGAACAGTGAGGCCCCGAATGAGTGTGAGCGCCTGATGCCAGGTAAGGGACTTTGACTCATGCATCAACCAGTAACTATTATGTTGTTAGGTATTAAAGTCGCTGCTTCACAATTAACTTGTATCCTCTTCTAAGCAGATGCAATGAACCATCAGAATTCAGCTTACAAGTTCAAATCCTCCAATGGAGTGGTGTCTGGCAATAATCACGTACCAGGGGGCATGACTGGAGGCGGGTCCTACAGACAGCAGCGCTCAGGGCCACACCCCCTCCAGCAGCAGCCTCTAAATCTCAGCCAGGTATGGAGGGACATGAAAAACACCATCAGTGTGTGAATATGTGTGTAAGAAATAATTTTATGTGGAATAGATTTATTGGCCTCTAAATCTCCATCGCCTCCTCTTCCAGGCCCAGCAGCACATGGTAGCCGAGCGAAACGGAGGTCATCGGCGCCAGCAGGCCTACATCACCCCCACCATCGCCACTCAGGCCCCGTACTCCTTCCATCACAACAGCCCCTCTCACACGGGCAACGTCCACCCGCACTTGGCCGCCACACACCTGCCTAGCCAGCCCCACCTCTACACCTACACGGCTCCTGCCGCTCTGGGCTCCACCGGCACCGTGGCCCACCTGGTTGCGTCGCAAGGCTCTGCGCGCCATGCGGTCCAGCACGGAAGCTACCCACCAAGCATCGTCCACCAGGTCCCAGTCAGCATGGGCCACCGTGTGTTGCCCTCGCCCACCCTGCACCACAGTCAGTACCAGGCCCAGTTCGCCCACCAGGCCTACATCAGCGCCTCGCCCGCCTCCACTGTCTACACTGGATACCCGCTGAGCCCCACCAAGGTCAACCAGTACCCTTACCTCTAGAGAAGACACTGACTGACACTGGAGAGCCTGACCCAGCACTGCTGCTCCCCCCTCCCTCCTGAGCCCACCCACCCCTGAGCCCCTTTGACATCCTGAACATCCTCTCCTCAACCTCAGACATAAACAAAGACAGAGGAACATGCAATCCTTATGAAACTGTCACGTATAACTTGAAGATGTAACGACAGAGAGAAAAAGAAACAAAAGATTCACAGCCTCTCTAGAAGGGAAAGATGAATTTCAGAGGGGTACAGTTCAAGATGTCTTCTTTCAGTTTTGTTTTTTTCCTTCCTGAAAGGGCCAGTTTTTTGCTTTGATTTGTCTATTCTTCGCTTTACTTTATGAGGAAAGTAATGTCTCATTAGTTTTACAGGGAGGTTTGAAAGAGGCCTTTTGGGACAGTGGAGGTTTTCTGGTTTGTTTTCTTTTATTTTCCCCTCTTAAATTTGGGAAGTGACTGTTGAACAGGGGTTACTGACTGGAAGTTTGGAATCCCAAGAGTTTTGGGAGAAGGTGAAATACGGAAACCTGCTGCTCTTCAAAGAAAAAAATATTGATGGCCTTGAACTGTCTTAATATTTCCAAATCATTCATGGTGTGGGGAGAAAGGAGAGGCAACTTCCCCCGCTCCACCTTCTCCGGTTCGAGGAGGCTTCTGGAAATATAACCAACAGAAGACAACAAACTTTTTAGTGTATTTATAGATATTTTTCCTTTTTTTGTTTCACCTTTTACGACGATACTTCAGTTTTAGCTAGGTGTCTTAGCTGGGCCCCGTTCTTAGAATGTAGCAGTCTGCACCTGTTTGTTTTAAGATTTTTTTTTTTTCCTGATACCAATAGATTTTTTTTTTTTTTGTTCCTCTTTTTTCAATGTGATTGCACAAAGTGGTTATAATAACATAGGCATGTACAACGTGATTGTCTGTGTGTGCTACTGTCAGCCATGCGTGTGTAGTCCACCTCCTCAAAACCCTCTTCAGTCGTTAGGTTTTGACCATTGTTCCCTCGTAGTGCCTTACAGATATAATGACACAGTTTACTTGGCTTGGATCCTGAAAGCCACACGAGACTATAGCTATACTTAGAGAGACATGTTTCCCTGGTTTGACACCCGAGTCGGGGCAGTTGTAGCTCTCTTCCAGGTGTAGGCTTGTTCCTTGCTGTTTCTCGTCCCTGATGACAGCTGACTATAGATGATGAAGATTAATGTCAGAGTTGGTATCACGCTGAGCTATTTTATGATGTGTGCATGAGATAACTTGCCTGGGGTACTTACCAAAGTCATAGATAAATTGTTGTTACATTTGCTCTGGATATTAATGTAAATATGAAAATGTACAGTATAGCTGTAGCTGTAAACCTCTATCGCAGTGGCACCCAAAATGTTGCTTTAGTTTGGAACATATTTGTTGTTGGTATTTTTTGTTGTTTTTTTTTTTTTACTCATACAAGGGAATTCATGCATCGTGATTACAGAGCAGAGATATTAGCTCAGTTTTCATGTACAGGGAATGAGTTACAGTAAAATGTAAATGTTTGCGACACAGTAGCGGTCGTTTTTTTTTTTTTTTTTTTTAAAGGATAAAAGCTAGTCCGAAAGAAGGGCCTGACAGAAAGTGATTGTTGCCACGAGGGTGATTCTGTGAGGCTATGGAAGTAGCCTGGCTGCAGCAAAGAGACAGAGTATCGAGGGTTGTTTGAGCGAGATACTGTGTAGGCACGAGTGAGGGGGGCTGGTTGAAAGCATAGGGTCAGTTTAGGTAGGGACTGTGGAGGGCACGGTGAAACTCTCTATCTTAAATGGGACTAAAATGGTAGCAAGTTGGCACTGAGCAGGTTGATAGTAACACTGAGCCCGCGTGGTTGGTAGGAGCCGCAGGGGGCACTACCTTACCTTGAATGCACACTTCGAATTCTGACATGAATCCTTTTGTTGTCGTCTTTTTTCTTTTTTTTTTTTTGCTTGCTGTTGCTGTTCGTTTCTCCAGCAAAGATAATTGGAAGTTACTTGTTTGCGTTTGAGGTTTGGGTAGCATCGCAGAGCTGCAGGAACAGAACAGAAGGGAAATGCCACAGCATACACCTGGAAGGGCACCTTGTGGACGATTTGTTGCCACTGTCCATTTGTCTTCGAACCCGATACACCACAGACATCGCCACGCCAGCCAGATGGGATACCTGAACACGTAGAGAACCAATAGGGCTGTCGCTTTGTGTGTTTGCTGCTTGATTTAACAGACATCATTTATTCTTGTAGCCGATGATACAAATAATCTCCTCTGTTCATTTTGTCCTCTTGAACATGGGCACATCAGAACTGCTGGTGGTTTTAGTGAAAGCCTTCCCCTCTCCTTCTTGGTATGCCATAGTACTTGCATTTGAAGTGATTTTTTTTTTTTTTTTTTTTTTAACTTAACATTATCTTGAACTTTTTTGACATGGCTGTAGTACATGTTGTGTTTATTTTTAGAGATTGTTGCAATAATTCTCGTGGATGTTTTATCAGAGTGTGTGTGTGTGTTTTTATTATATGTCAGGCTCATTTCTATTTTGTAACCTGGGGGTTGGTGTACAGTAATATTTAGTATTCCGTGGAGGTGGGTGCACCTGTGTAAAGTGTTGCAACACTGCTGATGATAGTAAGTGTTGAGTTGATGATAATCCAATGGGGTTCTTATTGATACATACTTGGCTTGAGGGTGCCACACCCCAGAGTGGTCTTTCATCCTGGTACTTGTTTCCCCAAAATAACTCTCCACTCCCCGTCAGCTCCAGCATGCAAAGCCTTGGGTCCGGGCACTTAAAGATGTGATTACATAGTACGTTGCTGGTTACATCATTCTTCTCTGTTCTGTTGTTGTCTTTTTATTTTATTTGATCTACTTAATTTCCTCTAGGTCATTGGGGCCTAAGCACACACGCGCAGAAGGGAGATGATTTTTCCATTGAAATCTTTTGGCTCCTCTGTTATGAGACAGACTACTGAAACATTCCACTGTTTGAGGGAATTTGGCGTTACCCATGCTACACTGCTGTCCTGTCCCCACTCTTGTCAGCACGGGGACGGTGTCGTCACGCTCTGACTTTTCCGCTCCTCCCACCAAAGAATTAAACTGATTGACCATGTACAGCACAGCACAGTACAGTACAAGCAATCCTCTACAACGTTGCTAGAGCATATAGGCAATAACTTCTGGTCATGTTGTTTTAACCCCCCCCCCCTAACCAAGTGCATGTGTGCATAAGATGTACAAGTACACAGGGAGGATTTAACGTACTTCATGTATACAGCACAGTCTTGAGTTTGTTTAGAATCTAGACATTCAGCTATGAGAAGCGCTGCAGTCTGTTTTGAAGCTTTCTCTGTATTTACTTTCATTACTCTTCACACTTGGCCCCTGTCGAGACTGAATGATCGATATTTGTCTAACCTCTCTCCAAATTGTTTTATAAGCCAGTTATTTTTTACGCTGTTCATGTTGTAGCTTTATTGGTGTTGTAAGAAAATGAATTTGTAAAAAGAAAAAAGGAAAAAAAAGTTTGTTTTACATTAGCGTGCCATGGAATAGAATGACCTGTAAAAATGAATTAATCAAAAAAAAAAAAAAAGTACCAACTATACCTTTAAAACCATGGTCACCTGCGCAAAAATGAATGTAATATGTGACCTGCGACATCTGAAATGGCTTTAGATCTTTCTCAGTGGGTGACCATTTAATTTAATTTCTACACTGTTTGTGGCCATGCATGATGCAATAATTATACATCTGATCTCCAGCAAAATCCCATATGAGACAAATAATGTAAAAATTACCACTGTCCTCATGATTAGGGATTATAGAGTAATCACTATTTTCTCAAATGAAGCATCCAATTAAGAGAAGCCCTGTATGCGCAACATTGTGGGAAATAACTTGACATGTATGATACCTTTGTCTATCACGCTGTTTCACATAACCAATGTTTTGTGTTTTATAAAAAAAAAGAAAAAAGAAGGGGAATCAGAAATGTGAGCATTAACGTAGATCGAGTGACCTTACAATTACCAAAATGTGCTTAAGTAGAGTGTAAAAATGTTTTGTGTTGTTGAGGTGAGCATAGCCTTCCCAGCTAGCGACTTTATTGTTAGAGTACTGCCTTCCAAATAACCAACAATACCTCTAAAGCTTTAAGGTGACATTTAAATCAGAGAAAACTGAATAAGGCAGCATCTCACTCTCTATGAAGCCTGGCATTCTCCTATTAAATACACTCAAAACTTCCAACTCTGCTCATGATGTTGTTGTGAATAGTCCTCCTGGAGCTTTGGAAACACCAAGAAACATTCCTGAGAGCATGGCACACAGTGCTATACATTAGTCTTCTTCGGACAAACTCCTCTAAGGTGACTTGAAGCTAAGCAAGAAGTGAATAGACAGCCTGCAACAGAAACCCACACACTCTTACAGGTAATAAAAAACATAAATCATTTGATAAAGTCGCAGCTGCTTCCCAAAGTACAAAAGGGTTAGGAGCAGGTGTTAGGTGGATTAATCATATGCTGATGTACTTTGTGCCACCAGGAAATTCATAATCTAACTACACAAGCATTCTTAAAGCCCTTTTGGATATGAGTGTATGTTTTTTTTGTTTGTTTTTTTTTTTACTTTTGTTGAGGAGATCTGCTCCTTTTGCTGGCTATTCCTTGGGGGAATTCAGGGTGAGGTGGTCAAGGTTTGATGCCATCACTGATCGAGGCTGTCAGGTGATTGCAACATATGAATTTAAGAACCAAAACTGATTCGATTATTATTCTTTTCCCTACCATATTTGTTTATTCTAATTTGTTCACAACCAGGCAAGGATGTGAATTAATTTCCACCACCTTTAAATCCCCAATTTGAAGATGTTTAGATCCTAATTTACATGAATGAAAAATGTTGCTTTTCCGACTAATTGCAGAGAGATCTCTAGCCAAAGTCAGCTATTTTTGTAGTGTTAAATTGAACAAACGGAATCTGGAAGTGGTAGACCAAAGCTGGGTTCAAATACAGATTTGCCTGTTTACACTGCAAAAATATCCATCTTACCCTAGAGTTCATGTCAAAGTCACAATCCCCTTTAGTAGATCCTCAAAATTATAAGTGTGAATTAGTGTAGCTGGAGTGCTTAGATAGCTATTGCACAGCAACCTTTTTGCAAGTGATACATCAGTTTATTTACATTTTCTAAAGACCTAAGAGTGCATCAAACCCTGACCCCCTTTTGTGTCCATTGCTGTATGGTTTCTCGATGGTGTAAAATCTCATTCTTTGTCGATAAAGCTAATGTGTGCTGCAGTATTTCCTAATATACTTCTTTGTTAATTGTCTTTTCTTATTTACTTTTGTTTATCGGGGTGTGATGTCTCATTATTTCAATCTGTTGATGTAGCGTTCTATGTATACCCTGTTCCTTAGCCTAATATTATTAAGTATGTTATGAGAATGGATATTTTACTGGCTTTATAGAATGTTTAAATAAATATAATAATGACAATAAGAAGAAGGATTAATTAAACCTCCTAACAAGTTGAGTACTTGCTACTAAGCGCTTGTGTTACCATTATGATGTTGTGTGCTTCTCTTAATCATTTTCGTTGTAGAAAAATGGAGTGAATTTATATTAGGCTTCGAAAAAACTAATGATAGCATTGTAAATTTTACAGGAGGATTTTAACAGACAAACAGCTTCGTCAAATAGAAGAATATAGTTATTTTAATTGTCCTCTTTACTAACTGTAGGGTGAGAAGGGGCTCGCGTTGTGGTGAACTATGTTATAGCTTGTTATTCACTGTTACTTTTGATCATTTTTTCGGTCTCCGAGGTGAATCGAGTTATTAATGAGAATTTGTATGCTCACATATGCATATTGTATATGTGTAGAAATGTAATCACACTTTGTCTTGGATTTACATTAAACTGTTAAGTCACGGCACCAGTGTCCTTTGTTCTACTGCTGTGTGTGTGTGTGTGTGTGTGTGTGTGTGTGTGTGTGTGTGTGCGCGCTTGAGGTTTGTTGTGTATGCTAGGGCATTATAATTCTTTTTATACATCAGAAAGGAAATAAAGATACACAATAAAAAACAACAAAACAAACTACATGGTTTGGCATTTGAACTTGAAAAAGTGATTGTAAGCCAACTTTAAAAGATTGAATTCAATAAATGTAATGTTTTTTTCTGTTGGTTGAGGCAGAAATATTTTATCTAATTAACATACTGTCCGTGGGTAGTTTAATCTGTTGCAAGTGCTGCATAAGCTCATTACAAATTTCGTAAAATCTGAAACCAGCAAAGTAATCTGTAACTGTAGCAGTTATAGATAAATGTAGCTAGTTGAGTAAAAAGTGCAATATTTCTAAGAACCTCGAAATTGTGCTTAAAAACTGTTGGCTGAGTAAATATAGTGAGTTACATTACACCGCTGACTGAAGCCGTGCCAGCTCCAGTTGCTTCTGGCAAAATAAGTGTGATTTTATACAACTCAATGCAATATAGAACTATTATGAGACATACGGATTTCATGACATAGTGATCCATAGCACACACAGGAAGTTAAGTGAAATCCAAACTGATTTGTCATCAGCAACATGAGTCATGGGCTACTATACTGCCACTAGGTGGCAGTGTGCACCAAAATGTTGATGTAGGTCTACATGGACTGGCTCTGACGTGATTAGGCTATGCTGATCATCTCCATTTATTTTCACCCACAAAACCTTGCTATGCAAGATGTGTGCAAAATGCACCATCATGTCACACCTCGGGCCTGCAAGCTCTTTAGAATTTGGAGAATTTACTCCCTGATGGATATCATGCATTGCAGTCTAAACGAATTATGGATCATCGTTGTGTCTGTCAGAATTTGAGTATAAACACTGCGCTTAAATAGGCTTATATATGGTGATGCAAATGTAACGTAAAAGGCACAGGAGTACAACCAGTAAGATGTACATAAAAAGGATTCTTACAGCAAAATAGTCAGTTTTGTAACTCTTGAAATGATTTATTGCAGCATAACAAGAAGATAAATTCTACTCAGCCAATAAAAAGCCTGACGGTGATGTATCCATCCACGGATATACCTTGTTAAGTGCTTCATTGCATGAGGTAACGTTGCCGTGGAAGCCGCAGACGCCAGTCGAAGAGGACCAACCTAATTTTAAAAGCCCATTTTGATAGAAAAGGGCTTCAGCCAATGGTAGCGGGTTTCGATAAATTACAAACTAATCAGATCTGCCAAGGGGCGGGGCTAACCCAATCCTCAGGACGAGAGAAGGTAACTGTTACCAAAAGAGTGTCAGATGAAAACCAGCTACCACCAGCTAACGTTCAATATGTCTGCACTGAAATAACTTAAAACGCAGACAGGTGGTTATATGAGGGTTAATGACGAAGCCTTGGGCAGCATTTTATTTCTTCGAAGGAAATTTTCTCGTAACTCAGACAAAGGAATTGACAGAGTTTGAGCTCCCTTTTTTTGGTAAGTATGAATGCGCAGCTATGAGCTGGCTGACAGGAATGGCTGGAGGGAAAGGAGAGAAAAAAATCGTGTTATCTGTGCACTCAAAGGTAGCTATGGGTAATATCACTAAAGTATGTTGGCTAACCCGCTTTTAGCATTTTGCTGTGGCACTCATAGGAGGGATGACCGTTAAGCTTGCAAGCAACGGGACGGGATGTAGGACAAGAGACTGTCATGATGAGAGCAGCTGACAGAGCGACTGAAAGCTAGCCGTGCAGCCGGGGAATGGTCTGTGCTGGCTCTATGTGCAGTGCTCTTTTTCCTTTTTACCACCGTACCTGTTTATTGGCCTATGTAGAGTAAGCAGGGGTGTCTAGTTTATCAAATGGGGAGATAAACCCTCATTTATGCTGATTTGATGTTATATACGCTGCCTTATAATGACCTGGTTGGCCATGTGCATGAAATGTGTCAAGTTTTTTTTTCACAATACATGAACATAAGACCAACCTGTGTCCACCCCCAAAATGTTTTATTTATTTTAAACATGGAATGTGAAGTTGGCATATCTTTTTGTCTGTCTGTGTGTCTGTCTGTCTTGTGTGTGTGTGTGTGTGTGTGTGTGTGTGTGTGTGTGTGTGTGTGAATGAGAGAGAGAGAAAGAGAGACCTCCCAGTAAAATGAAACATAGAAATGGGTATTACCGTTATTGTCTGCTTTGGGAATGTAACCATAACGAAATAAAGGTTTTGAATATTTTAAATCAAGCATGTGCTTATGTGTACTTCATGGATTATTAAGTAATATTGCTAAATGCTTTGTTTTGACAGTCACACTGTTACTCTTTTGTTTTCCACAGCTATTCTTCACTGCAAGCACATGATATGGAAGGAGGGGCCTTGAACTAAAAGAGACCAAACCAGGCAATCCCAAATAAACCTTGATCGTCTCTTTGGCATGAATCTTCTCTTCCTAACTGGATGAAATGCCTTGACTTTACCTCCGCCGTACCATGGCAGGTTTAGTCTCCTCTGTGGGTTTGGTGCTGATGCTCAAGGCTCTTATGCACGTCCATGGCCAGCGTGCAGTGTTTCTGGGGATGACGGTATGGGTAGCACTGATCGCAGCTGACTCACCTGCTGCAGGTAAGAGAATACCTTTTGCTGACTCACTCAACATGATTCACTAATTTGTCTCTTGTGTTACATAACTGACACAGATCATTATGTTGTACAACATTCACTTAACATTGCATTGACAAGTAATAGAAACCTTGCACTTGAAGGCAAAAACACAACCCAGCATTTTTATGGTGTATGAATAGCTACGTAAATTGCACTAAACTGAAAGTAACCATGAAAGCTACGTAAAGTTGTGGAGTGGGTTTGTGTTTGTTTGTGTGTGCAGTCGAATGTGTTGATGGCATCCAAGATCCAGCCTGGGCGTAATCAAGATCTTTGTCTTTATAGATATAGTTTATTCACTCTCTTTACCACTTGTCCAGTATGAGGTTGAATCGAATGACCAAAAAATTGAACCGTCATATTTCCTTTTGCAATACTTGACACAATTACACACAGTCACATCAAAGAGATGCTTAATACAACTGCAGTCTTGTTTGTGTACCACTGAGCAGCTGCACTGGGGCAGTTGGGGTTATTATGTCCCTTGCTCAAGGCCAACTTAACCTGTGACCTTCCAGTCACACGCTTGCTGTCCTAACCTTCAGGCCACTGCTGCCAACTCTTCTATTTAAAACTTGTCTTTTCCTTATTCAGAAGAAATGAGGTGATAGATAATATATAGCCCTAGCAGCGCAACTTCTTTTTGCTTTGCCTTTACTTTAGTACTGTACAGTTTCTTTGGTAGTTTAGCTCAGTATGAATTTACTAATGTCTTGATTTTCATATGAAAAGTTAAGGTTTCTGTGTGACCTTGGATAGCTGTGATATTCCTAATGAGGACATTCATATGTTCGATTCAGGATTTTCATGAGAGGCAGAGTGGCTCTATCCCTACACAGACTGTAGAGTTAAACCAATTTTCAGTAATTAGAGAAAGAGAAAGGGTCTAAATCCAACCACTTGATGGGTGTTTTCCCGGGGCTTACTTTTATAGATAATGACATGATCCCACCAACTTCCCTCCCCCCGCACATTGCCCAGTGTAAAGAACCCATTTTAAAGGCAGCCAAAAACTCATGATATTATGTGGTAATAGGATTATGCAGTAAATGCCAGGGTGAAAGCCTTGTTCAGGAAATCAGGAATTAGAATATCTTAAACTCCCACTCATATGATAACACCTCCATTCACAGATTTTAATTTGATCCTCTATTTCTTTTACAATGCTTCTCGTAAAGCTACACTGTACTTGTAGTGGATGATATGGCCTGATGGTTTGGACAGTTGTGGTATTATTCTATTCCTAGAAACCACAAAGAAGTTTCTGTGGCTGTTTTTGCTCAGGGTTTAAAGTGCACATTCACTTTGATATATTTTTAAAGTATTTTATCTCCCACATTTAGTCTTTTTGCTTCAATGACAGTTGCACAGCAAAACCTGTAAAAGGTTTTTTCTGTTTTCATGTCAAATGTCCATGAGATTTCCTGTCTCATTCTCTTCCCGGTCTCTTGCTCATTTGACTGGTGACTAAGAAGTGGGCTGGTGTTGTTTTTCTTACCGAGTGGCTCATCCTGTGTAATAGAATGGGGGGGGGGGGAATTGAAAGTTAGCACATATTTTATTGCCTGTAATCTTCTCTATTTTCGTAGGAATACTTCATATATCAGGGTTGCTTCATCTCTTATGGGGAGATATCTTCCACCAAAGCAGAGCGGCTGGGTTTAATTGATATATCCTCATGGTTTTGATGATCACACCAAGCTTAGGCAAAACTTTTGAGGAGCATCTCATAGACATTTCTTCTGTGGCAAACCACTGCATCACATGAGAATACATTTATCAGCCGTGGTTGGACAGGCTTCAGACAACTGCATGCTGTTCTGAATTAGCCTGTTAAGCACTCTAAATTTGGGTGAACATTAGTGCTGTGTAATGGGAACATCAAAAGTTGGGATGAGTATTTTTTTTTTTTTATCTAAGAGTAATATGTATGAAAATTATAACACTGTACACTAAGACTCTGTTGTTTGTATAGTCTTATATGAAAAGTATAACAGATTTGTAAATCAATCTCACTATGGAAAGTAAAATACTGACAGAGACTGTTGAAAAAGTTTTATACATACAGAGCTAAGTTAGTTAAGCTAAGAAAACTGTTGCATGATACTGCAGTTTTTTTAAAAAACGGTATCATTTGTAAGTTATACCTAAAGATCTAATGAATGGGTGAGGCAAAATTAACTCATAAAACTGTAAACCTTATGGTAAACTTCTTGCCCCAAACTAGGAATATCCCTAATATCCCTACTTATTGTATGACATATGCAGGATGACAACTGTGTTTCCACGGTCTGTTTCAGCAGTGAAATCATCAGTCTTACAGCTTTCCTCTTCCAGACTCAAAGAAGCACACTTTATAGTTTATAGGTCAAATAGAGCACGGAGATGTACATATAATTGTTCCTCCAGACCCGACATCATACAGTAATGTCCCTCTTTCTTACTTCTCCGCTTCTCTTGCTCTTTCTCGTCCTCTGCTTAATTTTTAATTCTGGACGAAAAAGTTCTACATATATACCCTAGATCTAAAACGAGCAATCTTATAATAATTATAAACTTTATATGTAATGCCATAAAGTGCCCTTGCAATTTTGCCCCAACAGTCTCTCTCTGCACCACAGTGACTGGCAAGTTCAACACAACAAGCTGCAGGCCAGCAACATCCTGGCTAATTACCAGTGCAGTCCATTGCCCTGTGAAATGAGATCTGTGTGGGATGACAATATGGCCATTCATTATTCATTAGAGCTGGGAGCCAGTTGCAGATCAATGGGTAGAACCCATCAAAAGCCAAACACTGGGTACTTTTGCGTGCACCAGGGCTGCAGCCTAACCATACAGATCTATTGGAAAGCAGCCGGTGGCCGACCGTGCCTGTCTACTGATGGCCTATCCCAGCATTATTTGGCCATGTTGAGAGCGGTGGAAGCTCGTCCACTGGTCAAGGGTGGGTCAATGATAGCAGGCTGACACATTTTTAAAACAGTGTTTTGTTACTCTTCCACATTATAATCAGTGTCCCTCATTTGTAATATCATGTTCATACGTCAAAGTTATTATATAGTCAGCTATTCTGAGGATGGCTGTAATCTCATTGACATCATTTTTTCCAGTTGTCCACTATTACCTAGATCATACTGCTAGGTTGTGATGTGAAGGTACCATAGTGGGGGCTTGTGAATGTACATCTGTTAGTGATTTTGTGTAACCTTTTTTCAGTTTTACCAAGGCAATTTTCCATTTAAGTTTCTGCATCCTACAAGTGTCCAAACTTGGCATGAGTATTGTTTAGAGCAACAACCTTATTTAATCATGGACTGAAACACCTCAAGAGTATTTTTATGGATATAATGATTACAGCTAACATTAGATTTTTAGTTCTATATATTCAAAATCCTTATCTTAGAAAATGTCTGTTTATTAGTCTTGTATGATGTCAGACTCATTTAACATCATTTAGGCACATAGAGAATTTGTGTTATTAGATAATCAGCAAATGCAGACACTGTGAACTGACCAGTAACGGTTTTCTTACGGAAAATTGTTCTTACACAAGCCTATAGTAAGGCTTTATTTATTACAAATAGATCCCCCTGTTTGTGCTTACAGTTTGCTGTGCTAACAGCCTGTCAGTGTTGGGAGCTTGAAATGTGCAATGCAAAGTTCACAATTTGACAGAAGGCAACGTTGAGTCCATATTGTGCTGAGCCCAAATCACTATGTGCTCTGATGAACTGCAGCTGATTATTTATATATTTATCAAAGCAGATGGTGCAGTTCAGCCCGGCTTCTTTTGAGCCACCTCTCAACATCCCTGCTACTTCAATAAGTATTTAGTCTAACCCTACACAGATATTTCCCTTTTCTGCTCACATATGGACTTTTAGGCAGAATAGAAAACAGGTTACTCTCAAGACACCTTAACCGAACCCAGTAGACAGTTTTTGTTCTCCCAGGACCCGAAGCCTTAGAGTGGCCTGTGTTGGGAGGATTGAAGCAGAGTAGAGGAGGTTGGTGAGTGACACAGTCCTGTGGGCTTCTCTGGTTACAAGTCTTTGCCTTCCTGTCTTTCGAAGAAAATCAGTACTGCAGAAAGTGAAGGAGTGTATCCAGATTCGTGTGTGGGTGTGTATGCCTGTCCCTGTGTGTGTGGTAGTGCAGGGCTTTTCTTATAGAAAGACAGACTGCACCACCATAATGCACTTGTTGAAACTGATCACACAATCATAGCAATCATGAATTCTGAACTTAAGTTCTTAAATCTCTTATACAGTGGCCCAGCATGCTGCAAATACCAGAAGATTCACTGAAAATATTGTAGCTAACTATACCTTTAACTCAGATTCCCTCACTCTCCGTCTGTGACCTCTCTTCCTCTTAGTTGGACTCTCGTACTACTCTCCTCCCCTCCCCCTTATCCTGCTACCCCTGTTTCTCTTAAAAAATGTTCCCTCAGGAAAACAAAACAAGGATCACATGAATATTTGATGTGCAGGCATGACCTCAGTCAGTCTCCATTCCCATGCTCAATTTTAGCCAAATCAGATGAATTAGTTTACAGTAGATTTTGGCAACCTGTCCAACTACAAAACTTTGTGTGGTGCTTTTTCTTTATTGATCTCTTAGATCATGAGCAAGATTTTGATTAGCATTCAAACTTAGTTTCTAATTATAGCCTTTGCTTTATTGATCTAAAGCTGTTCTTTAATCTTGTACTGCTTGCTGTAGGTTGAATATGACAAGTGGGTGCAACCGGAAAGCAACTGGCGCAGGTTTATGATAATGCACCCCTTATGGAGTCAAACAATCTTTTTCTGGGGGGGGGGGGCTGCTTGAGCTTTGGCAGAGAGCTTGATCTAATTGAACCCCACTGATAAAAACAATGGAATCTTTCCCATCTTAAAAGCTTCCCTGATAAACCAAATGTCAACACAGCCATATCTTGATTGTTCGACTGCACT